CCTCTTCCTCTTCTTTCCTCTTACCTTTCTTCTTATTTTCGATCCTGAAATCCATTAGGGTTCAAGACTGATAACAGTCCTGAACTTCTACTATTGATAATTGTAAACTTGCAAACCACCGTAGACCCAGTTGGTCCAACTTGAATCTAGACTGAGCTGGCCCAGTTCAACCTGAGACCGCAAGCCAAGTTACTTGGTCAGAACCGTCTGCACCAACCTAGCACCAAGAACATTCTAGAATTATCTTTTAAAGGGGGAAATTATATAAATAAGCGCCCCATAGCCAAACAATGTTTTAAAATGCCGAGGCATGATGCGAGGCGTTCTACTACCTGGAGGCATGAGGCATAAGCCTCCTGAACACAAGGAGGCGTAAGCCTCTTTAAGAGGAGGGGGATGAGGAAGAAAGAGGGGGGGGGGGGAGGAAGAGGAAGGGATAAGCCTCCTTAAGATGGATTGCAAACAATCCATCAACTTTCTGGGCAATGCTGAGTGGAGCAAGAACCCCCTGGCACACCTAAATTGAGCTACACAGACTTCTTTCCCCTTATCTTCCCTTCCCTTCCACTTTCTTTCTTTTTCTTTCTTTTCCCTTTCTTTTCTTTTCCTTTCCTTTCTTTTCTTTTTTTCTTTTCTTTTCAGTCTTTTTGTATAAGGTGTACGCACATGAGGCATTACACCTCTAGCACTTCTCATGAAAAAGGCATATGAGGCGTACACCTCGGAGGTATCAACGCCTCTGGCATATGCCTCGGGGCATTTTGGGGGCGCCTCACCTAGAGGTGTACCTTCAGGCGTAACCTCCCATGCCTTTTAAAACACTATAAGCCAAACGGGGGACCCAATACCTGAATCCATCGTCTCTCTCTGGGAAGGAAGTCTGAACCTTTGTTAGACTTCCTTCCCCATCACTGACTTACTGGGACTATAGGAGGCCTGATCCCTCACTGGAGAGGGTGCATAGTGCAGCCCCTGCGGTGTCCGGATAATTCTCATTTTTCCCCTCTCCATTCCCTTCAGATTTTCAAAGCTGGCCATCCGTGCCATATCCACATTCCAAATACGTAGCTTGAGGGGAATTTGCATCACTGAGGGTGATTATTTGTTATGTATTTTTTCTGAACTGATGATAATGAGACTGTTGCCCCATGATCATGTTTTTGTACAATAAACCATGTATGATACTGAGACTGAGTTGCCCCTTAATATTGGCTTTTTAAATATCTTTTCTTTTCTTGACAACCATTAATAATTGAACTATATATATTTAACAGACCAAGGATTCTCATATTTGAATTAGCAAAAATGATTGGATTAATGTTTTGAATTATTTCAGGGAGCTGCTCGCTTATTTGGTTCATCTATTTCTGCCAAGGACCTAATTAGTGTATCTGGGGTATGTAAATTGATATTTCAGCTCCCTCTCCATATCCTCATTTAAGTTTTCCTGAAGAATTGTTTTGTTCTCTCTCTTTTTTTTTAGAAATAAATATATCTAATATTCCTGTCTAGAGGAAATGAAAGAATGCCTTCTCTCTTTTTTTTTTTCCCTCTTGGGCCTCCTGCAGAGAGGGGGTTTGAGATTTTATTTTTTATAACTAATGTAGAATAACTGCTGTCTATGTGTTAAGCCTGGCATTTTAACGAGTATTTAAACAGTTCCATACAATTAAGAAAGCATAAAAATGCTGCGTTGAAAATTTTTCATAAAACATTAATTGTTAGAGTGCAACATTCCTGTTGTTAAGGATACAGTATATACCTTTTAAAACTGCCCCCCTCCCCTCCCTGATGACCTTCTTTCTATTGGTGCCCCTAACTGCTGAGATCTCAATTTACCAGGTAATTCCACAAGATGCTGTTCAGGCTCTATTAGCATCATGTAGAAGTGGTGATTTTGAGTTGGCCAACAAGGAAGTCAGTAATGTAATTTCAGAGGGATATCCAGTTTCTCAGATGCTTTCTCAGGTTCTATCACTTATTTTCTTTTGCGCCTTTTATCTCCATTGGTGTCTATTTCTATCAGATCAATATTTTTGGTGACACGTAGTAGTTCTGCCAGTTGTTTGAGGTGATTGTAGAAGCAAATGATATATCAGATGAACAGAAGGCAAGAATCTGCAAGAGATTGGCTGAAGCAGACAAGGTTACCATCCTTGATCTGTTTGTCTGTGTTGTTTACTTGATTAATGTTTAAAGTCTCAATTTTAAAGACCTTTGTCCTTGCTGAATAAAAAGGCCATTACCCAATGTTGGTCCCAAGTCCCAGCAATCTGGGGTCTTGGGAGGGTTATACTGGATACGGTACCTTTGGCATTTTGTTTGCACAATGTGTTAGTTCTCAGCATAGCCTGCCAGCCCGAGTTTTTACTATTACACCAAGTGATGGCCCCTTTGCATTATTGTACTATAAATACCAGGGTTCAGTTTAAATTGGTTGGAATTCCAAATTTGCAAAAATTAAAAATTTTAGGATTTTAATAAAACTTCAAATCTGGTTAGCACATTTTTAACAAAAACTTAACATACCGATTAGCACCATTTTAGGTTAGGCTGTGCTTAGTTGAAGTATGCCCCAGCTCACTAAAGGCCATTACCCAATGGCCAATGTTGGTCCCAGCTGTCGGGTATTGAGAGGGGTGGACTGGATATGGTCCTAACTTATGGCATTTCTTTACTGCACAAAGTGGCCACTATCAGACTAGAACCCGTTTATCTTTTTTGTGAAAAAGTAATCAYCAAACTACTTGGCCTCTCATTAGGACCCAAGCATGGTCATTGGCCCATGTACACGGTACACCACCCCAAGGACATGRAACTACTTTGAGAGAACAAAATAATAACTAGATGTCTTTTTTCTTATTGAAACTGGAATAAATCCATTGCTTGTTTTGTATTGGAATATATTCTTACTCCTGTTCTATTGTGTATTCAGTGTCTAGTTGATGGAGCGGATGAGTATCTGCAGCTTATGGATGTGGCAAGCAATACAATGCGAGCACTTTGTAACATGCCAATGGAGTTCTCATACGAGTAGAGCTGCATAGCAAGAGGTGGAACAACACAAGGGATTTTGTTTTGACTGTTCAGCACATCAACAAACAGTCCAATCTTTACTTAAATAGATGGTGCATCTTGCTTGACTATAGAGAAAAAATGTAGCTTCTAGATTGGAAGGGCTAGCTATTTAAACATCTTCGACATTTTAGTTTTTTTCTATTCAAAGGTCCCTTTCTCTTTCAGTCTCTTTTAATCTTTGACTATTTTCTAAATGCAACCGTCGTCTTCTGGGTCTCATCCATTTGGAATGGTTCAGTCTGCAACTAAAAAGGAGTGGATCTCGTTCCCCATCTTGATGCATTAGGAAAATTCTTTGACACCGTAAACCAGCCCGCCCAAGTTGCAGCGAGTTGGGTCACATCCCATAATGATCTGACACCGTAAACCAGGAGCAGGAGGCGAGGAAAATTCTTTGAAATGCCTAAAATTCTTTTCAGTGACCAGCACTGGTTATCTTTTTCCTAATAATGGTTCAAGAAGAGCAGACTCTTCCTCCTGCAAAAGTAGAATTGTAGAAAAGTAATAATAGAGCATAGATCAGCAGCTGAGCTTCTTTAGGTTATAAAGTCTGCTTCTGTAGTGAATCAGCAACCAAGTTTGCATTTTCAATATGGAATGTGAACCCACTTACCACCAAGGCATTGAATTCTGTCTGCCTCAGGTATTGCCTATGACAGCAGGATCTCTAAGACGTCGTAAGACTAGGAGCCAATAAAAGAACAATAGAACATTATTCTACAGAAGCCTGAGAAATAATCCTCTTCCCAATATTTATTACTTGCCTATTTTCATCCAAACCTTTTGGCCAGATGTAAATATCTAAGAACAAAAATCTTCAACAATTTGGATACTATAATAGATTCATTTGAAAATAGGGCTGCAACTTGGTCCGGCCCAAGCCGAGCTCGATGCGACCCAGTCCACAGTTTTACATGGAGGGCTTGATTGTTTGATCCTCGAGCTGTGTTAGGCCCAAAAGTTTGTGCTTTTAATTTTTCAAGCTGAATCTGGGCGTATACTTTACATTGCTTGAAACCAACCCAACCACATTTCAATCCAAGGGTTGGATTTAGGCCTTGGGCTCAAATCTAAGGGTTGGATTTAGACTTGACCTTGGGATCAGTTTGGATTTAGGCCTTGGGCTCAAATCTAAGGGTTGGATTTAGGCTGATCTTAAACCTGTCCCAACGGCCCTAACCCACCCCTACTTGAAAGTACATTTGAAATTGATGAGGTGCGATTTGGCCCTCTAGTGATGTGATGACACGTGACACTTCAAAATAACCTGACGACATTTCAGCACCACGTAAACAAACCTTAGGAGTGTCTTGGACACCTCGTACCCGCCTTGACGACTTCGACACAACTCCGGCAAGCCGAACTGTGAACGACCCAGCAAGACATCAGGTCAATGTAAGAAGCAAGACATCAGGTTGGTGTAAGAGGCAACCTGCTTTCGCTGACCTGACCCGAGTTCGGTTAGTGACCTGCCTAACGTGCTGGGCGACCTCCTCCATGAGTGGGTTATCGTCTCTGACTTCCCGGGATCACAACGCCACGTCGAGAGAGCCGGTTATCACCTTGCCCGCTTTGAGTGTGACTAGATAGACACTACCCGCTTACACGGAGTCCATCACTGAGCGTGAAATCACCTTCGAACCAGATGAGTCAGAGATCTTAGACACGCTTTGTGAGCCTCACAACAACTTGCCAATATAAAGGCATCCCCATTCATATCAAATGTATGCACGATTTATGTTGTTACACACTTTAGATCTTTCGCATTCTTGTAATCACATTATCAGTTCACTAACTTATGCATCGGAGTGCCCACCTYGAGTAAAGCAACCCAGACACACTGATCACTTCTTTCTTACAGCTTGAATAGGTGCCCTACTTAGTCATCCGAGCTGTCCGCCAGCAAGGATCACCAGACCACACATCATCAATTAGCATTATCTGTGGGAACACATTACACAAAGCTGAGTTCTCACCTGCTTACTAAGACTTCGATCTAATGGCATCTTCCAGCAACACCCCCATCAACAACAACGCACGTGTTGACGGAGCAACCATAGGGGGGCAGGACCACCACGCCATGCACACTGAGGTCTCCTTTGTCACTACTTGGCAATTCACTATGCCCTTGACCTTACTAGGCATCCCTGTCGCGTAGAATCCTAACATGCCTCTTCCAGCGGTCGAGCCCTCCATGGTTCCTGTTGGGATTGATGGCCGCTAGTTTCACGAGCTGGTGTAGTTTGTCCGCGGGATAAACTTACAGATGACAACGTGGGAAGGCCATTTTGTGGCATTAGTAGTGATGCAACAATATCAACAACAACACTAACAACATTAGGACAATGAGCAGAACATCAACTAGAATTATCAGCTCGATGACCAGAACCAGAACCAAGTACCGGACCCACCTTGCTATCATGGAGACCTGAACCAAGTTCCCATCATGGAATCGACCCGAATGTGATGTAAGAAAGAGCCACCTCGCCCTGAATGACAATGAAGAGGTAAAAAAGGAAGAAGAGAAGAAAGAGGTGAGCTAAATCGCCACCTTGTCAGCACAACCGATGATCTGCATTTCGCCATTGCCCACTGAAATCTTCATGGCTCCACGGCCTAAGGACTTTAAGGCCCCTAGATTGGAATCATACGATGGAACAACCGACCTGGTCAATCACCTCGACAACTTCCAGGCCCTGATGCAGCTACATGGGGCCAATGATGCGAGCCTTTGCATGGTCTTCCCAACCACCTTCCGGGGCACAGCTCGGATGTGGTACTCGGGACTAGCTATAAGCTCAATTGAGTTGGAGCCAGTTTGCTGACCTCTTCACCACTCACTTTGCGACAAGTAAGCAGTGTTCGAAGTTAGCGACTTGTCTTCTAAACATGGTCCAACGACCCGATGATAAGCTCCAGGACTACATCAAGCAGTTCGACTTGAAGCGGCTTCAGATACCTAACCTCGACCTGATTGTACAACTCACCGCAGAAGTCAATGACGTCCGGCATCCTGACTTGTGCTGGAAGGTCGAGTTGAATCCTCTGACCTCTATGGAGGAGTTCCTCAACCAGGACACTAGATTCACAAAGGCCGAAGAAGCGCTTGGTTCTCGGTTAGAGCTGAACGAAAAATAAAGGAGATTAGAAGATGAATCTAGGAGTAACAAGCAAAGGCAGAAGAGTAAATTGCCAAGGCACAATAGGTCCTCTCATAATTGGCATAGTAGGTCGCAACGGAGAAGGAGCAGGTCCCCTTACAGAGGCAACATGTCCTTAGGCCGACGTTCTCGCACTCCTTTCGTTTAGAACGAAAACTACATTGCACTGAATGCAAAGAGAGGGGAGATCCTAATGTAGATAAAGACAACCGAGTACGTTAGATGGCCACCTCGGATGAGAGGAGACCTCGCCTAGGAATCCAAAGAAGTACTGCAGGTTCCATCGGGACATCGGCCATGACACAGAAAARGAATTCATCAAGGTTATTTGGAAGCAATTCATCAAGGTTACCTCAGATGAAAGGAGACCTAGTTGAAAAACAGTCCTAGACGTATGGGACTGTGCAAGAAAACCAGAAAAACTAACAAGAGAAGATTAGAGTAGATTAGAGAAGGAGAGAGAGAGAGAGAGCTGTGGCAAGGAGAGTTAGAGGATGAGGAGTTCGAACTAATCCTCCCTCTAACACTCTAATACTCTTTTATTAAGTTAATCTTTGAGTAATTAC